AGAAGTTTACATATGCTTAGAGGCTAGGCTGTTCAATGAGTAATTTGTATGAATGTTTACTGAGAAAGGCGATGAAATATCATTAGAAGCGGAAATGGTAGAATAATAAATGGGATGAACGTTGATAGCAAAAACATACCAGAAAGGCAGGCTATGCTTAGAACAAATAAGTTGTCTGGTCCATATGGGTTTGCATTCCAGGTTATTAAAGAAAACGGGAGCGTTGACAGCAGAAGAACTTGCCTCAGTCTTCCAATCATCCCTAGATATGCGAAGGTGCCAGAGAATTGGAGAGTGAGAAATATGTCACCATTAATGGAGGAAGCATACAAGAATATTCCTTCTAACGACAGCCAGTCAGTTTAAGATCAGTGATAGTTAACCAAAGTCTCTCCAAGTGACTAAGGAGAACCAGTGCGGATTTGTAAAAGACAAATTGTGTTTGCTTAGTCTAATTGAATATTCTGATGATATGTTGGAGAAGATTGATTAAGGGAATTGAGAGGATGTACTTGATATAAATTTTAGAAAGCACTTTACAAGAACCACATAAAAGGCTGATTACCAAAGTTAAAGCCCCTGGAATACAGGAGTCAGTGTCATCTTGGATAAAAGCTTGGCTAAAGGATGTTAATATTGCTGTCAGCTCAGGACGAGATCCATCAAATTCCTAAAGTTCAAAATGCTCATTTATCATCACTCAGATGATACTTCCCCAACTGAGATGAGATTCACTGCTTCATTCTCCTCCCATTTTGACTCCAATCCCTTTCTCTTTCAGTAAGGAAATTACATGTATTTTTTCTCTAATCATCTAGCAAATCTAAGTCAGCTATTGAGAATAGCTGCCGGAGAACCATAATAAGACTTGTATCATTTCTTTCACACACCAGGATAATTTAAGCCTGCCATTTTTTTTCTTGTAACGTCATTTCGATACCATCCATCCCTTTGTTACCTTGTTCAGCAAAGAATATTACATTCTAATTCTAATTCCACCTGACAAAGACCACATCCGACTTTGTTGTAGTTAAAAACAAAACAACGTTTCTTCGCAACATTCCTATTCTCATTCATTAATGTCACCGGGAAGTCCTAGAAAGATTATATTTGTGTCCCAACTGATATTTGACTCCTAATGCAGATAAAAATTGTGTTAACCATTATCCTGACTTTTTGTACCACATCCTCTGCTTTAGATTCGTTTGTTGTTCTTCTGATAGAAGGAATCTGCACGTACAACCCTGCATGTTATGTACCCGACTGCTTCACTATCAATTCATTATTTTTAGTTCTTGCTCTGAGCAAATGCAGCAGCCAATTTCCATCAGCAAGAGTCCAACAATTGAAATAATTCAGCTATTAATCAGTTCCAAGGTTGCAGAATATTAGCCATAACTGCAGAATATTGTCATGTTCCTATTCAAAAACTGATATAGCATCCTGAAATTGCAAGGGATGCCGTCAACTTAACATGTGCAAGTTTGCTGATCCCATTCTGACAGTGCAAGTGAGTGGGTTTTGAATTAGTTAAAATCTCGCCCAATATTTCTGACACTCCTTCCGTGCTGAGCTGGAGTATCAGCCTATTCAACAGTCAATCCCTAGAGCAGAGACAGTAGGAACTGCAGATGCTGGAGAATCTGAGATAACAAGGTGTAGAGCTGGATGAACACAGCAGGCCAAGCAGCATCATAGGAGCAGGAAGGCTGACGTTTTGGGCCTAGACCCTTCATCAGAAATCATTTCTAATGTAATCCCTAGAGCAGTGTCTTTTTTTTACTCACAGCCTTCTGCTTCAGAAACAAATGTGCCAGACATATTATTGCATTATTACCAACCATAACTTATAAACAGACTACTAATTTGTTTTTCAGAGATTCAAGTTCCAAACCTTTCCACCAAAAGGCCTATTTTGATAGCTAACAGTTTCTTATTGGGTATTGGCTTTTCTTCTCAGAGAAACATTGTAAGAAATGCACAGATACTATACCTTCTCTACATTGTGCAATCTTACAGTCTTATCGTTCAGTCACAATAACCTGTAGCTGTAATAATGTGATCTGTAGTAAAACATTCACTATATTCCACTGATCTGAAGTCAGGTTTTCAAAATGGTTTCCTATTATACAACACATACTTCCTCATACATTTCCATATCTCATTGAGGTTAATGAAAAATAAGCTGCTAACTTTAATGTGTCCTGATAAATAAGAGCCCTGTCGCAAGCACTGTCTGGTTTTTACAGTTAGTTATGTGGTAGGACATGAATAAAATTAACCAAAGATTCTGAAATCTCCTCTAATTGGTTTGGCATCTTAACTACAGAAATATATTGGCACAAGTGGATGAAATCCGTTTTGGTCAGGTCAATTCATCATTTAGAAGAAATACCAAATGCCTCATCACTTCGTCTCATCCAAACTGACAGAAGTTAAATATTGCTGGCATTTCAATTTGCAATCTGCAATTATAATTACTGTTCAAGTTCTCTGCAGTTATAGTTCTGGTGAAATGTCATTTCCCTTTTCTACAAATATACTCACAAAGTCACTTGACTCTGTTTTATACACCTGATTGAACAGTCTGATCATGTGACCCAGCCACATCTAAGTGCAGGTTATCGATCCTTTGTGATTTAGTTTGCCAAATTTATCACATTCACCCTCAAAGACATTCATCGTCTCATATCTATATGAATATTGTAATTATTCTACAGTGCCAAAGTAGTCATGGGCCACCCTTTATTCTTAGCTGTGTCATTGCTGTTTGGATATGCCTCCTTCTCTGAGTTTATAGAAGCAATTTAATTATAAACATTACAAAGCCTGCGTGGAAATGATGAAACAGTTTTGGTACCAATGATAAGTAGGTAATGGTTTTAAGTAATTGGAGATCCTTAACTTTTTCAGTAAATAATAGTATAGTTGAACAAAAAATATGTTCTCAAAGTGCTTGTTCATAGCATGATTGTAATTTCTATTTTTAATACAATTTAAAGTCACTGTTTGGACAAATCCAGTATACCATAATGTCATATTCTCAACCATACAAAAAAATCCAAGTTCTCTTCTTTACTGACATTCACACTTGGGTTTTCTGACGGCAGGGTGGTTGTGGTAGTGGGGCTTGGGGAAAGGTTGTACAGTATGTGTAGGATGGGAGACAGTAAGGACTGCACATGCTGGATGCTAGAGTCATTAAATGTGGAGCTGGAAAAGCACAGCAGGTCAGAGGAATGAGTTTAGTTGGGGAAACCAGTTAAGGAAGACTACTTACTGTAATGGTCAAAAGTGTCAGCATTGATTTGGAGATCAAAATTTTGGCAAAGGTCTGTAGTTTGGGTTGTGGCTGAGGTTGTTGACTTGCTCATCGAGCTGGCTTGTTCTTGTTCAGACATTTCGTCACCGTGCTAGGTGGAGCCTCATGCTAGGGCCCTAACACACTGGCCACACTGCCATACATCAAGAACATATCGGAACTGACAACAAGATTCCTAAGACCACGAGGAATCATGGTGGCCCACAAACCCACAGCCACTCTACGACAAACACTTACAAGGATTAAAGACCCCATTCCCACAACATGCAGAACCAATGTGGTTTACAAAATACCATGCAACAACCATGCCACAAACATTACATCCGACAGACAGGAAGCAAACTAGCCATCAGAATACACGAATATCAACTAGCAGCAAAACAGCACAATGAACTCTCCTTAATATTGGTACATTCAGACAACGAGGCCATCAGTTTAACTGGGACAAAGTAACCACTGTAGCCCAAGCCAAACATAAACATGCACAGGAATTTCTAGAGGCATGGTTCTCCACCCATAATGCAATCAACAATCATAAGAATTGGACCCCATATACAAACCCATACAGGTCAAAACCCGAAATGATACTACTCACCATAACGGATCAAACAGTATAAATTTCAAGTGGAGTAGAATAACATCGCTTCTTTGGAGGCTCCACTGATGATGTCAACTAGCACGATGATGAAATGTCTGAACGAGAACAAGCCAGCTCGATGAGCAAGTCAACAACCTTGATTTGGAGATGTTTATCTGCTGGGCCAGCTTACTGTTCCAGAGGGAGAGTTCACAATGGGTGGCCAACCAGTACTATCAAGAACACTAGGTAATAGTTTAATGTCAAAAATGAACATTGCTCTACGTTACTCCATCTGAAAAAAAAAGGCTTGCAGAGAACTGATCTTTGTATTTTTTACCTCATTCCTACATTATCTTCTTTTTCTTGATTCTGGACTACTTCTTCATTTACCTCTGGACTGTTTCCTTATGAAAGATTACTTTAGCCTATCCTGTGGCACTGGCTCAGTAAAGTGGGACAGGGGCCCAAACTAATGTTCCCACCAAGGTGCACACATGTGGCCATGCAGTAGCCTAGAGTGTGACTTGCAAGCCTGTGCCTGATCATACAACAAAATCTAAACGGCCACTTATTGAAAAAAACCTTTAAAGTGCATAGCAACAACATTTTACAGGGAACGTTGGGTCGCACACACCTTCTATAGATACAAGAATCTCCTAGAACGGTATCCCACCATTCAGAAACTAGAACTCTTGTCTATTCTTGACACAGTTGTCTGGGGTAAGACTCAAACCCATAATCTTCTGACTGAGAATGTGAATGCTAACACAGGGCTATGTCTCATTCCACTAACAGTGTCAATTATAAATAATACAAAATAATAACAGAATACATGACTACTGGTTGATCTTCTGTGTAGTGCATATGGGAAGTTATAACCAAGGGATTTTCTGCAGTGCAAGATTGAAGAATGGTGCCATCCCTGGTGTAAGGTCTCATTATGATCTGACAACTTTACATAGGTAGTTTCCATTCTAGTTATAGATAAGAAAATTTGTAATGAATGACTTGATAGGAAGTGTGCGCAGACATGAGACTTGTAACATATAACAAAGTGATGCCCAGTACAAAGTATTTGCTCTTGCTCTTACTTCCTAGTGCTTTGCATTCAGCACAGTGATCGAGGAGCTTCGTGTTTCACTTAGGTGTCACAAAAAATTGAACAAAAATTCCAGAACCAGAAGAAAATATGGGTTGTCAAGCATCCTCATGTGTCATCAAAGGCGAATTATACGAAAAGAGACAATAACATGAAGCTGGCAACTATACTCTCGGCAGATGACACTATTTGATGTTATCTGCAATTATACTGTTTACCTCATGGACAATATTATGGATTATTGGACTTGTTGACAGAAAACAAAATGTTGTGATTGAGAAACTCTTTATACTGACTTTTTTTCTAAGTTATCAAATGAAGAAAATGTGAAAGATGTTGCGATCAATCATTTTTTCTTTTGCAGAAGTTGCAATTGATATCATTATGTAAAGAGACACTGTAACTGAGAGCTTAGAATCTTGCAAGTATCTCTGAGTGCTAGCTGTTGTAAGACATTTTTTCTTGCTGCTTTAATGTTTAATGAAATTAGTTTATTCAAATATAAATAGGTAAACATAATCAAGGTTACATTCTTCTCTTTATTAATCACTGTCACCCAATACAGCTACTACAGATTGTCGATTAAAGAACAAGGTTTAATATAAGATTTAAACATTCTAAGTTATACAATTTTCTGCTGAGCTCACTGTGTGTTCAACTCCCACAAAATTTTTGTAATACAAATCATTTCTCTCCATTATGTTGTTTACTAAGTGCAACCTCCTTTATTTTCACCCAAAGTAAAGTGATCTGGAAGTTCACTGACTTGTCCCTCCACCCACAGATGGCTCTGATGCAAAACTTTATTTCGTAAAAAAGTAGGCTCTTTGGATTTTATTGTGGGAACTTGGAAACAATATACAAAAACTGTAAATTTGTTCAGCTACTCTACTTAGTGAATGTTTAAGTTTAGATGCATAAGAGTGCAGAGGGATTAAAAATGGTCAATTTTGAGTTTTGTTGTTTCTGCAATTTAAGCCTTGATTTATTCTGTTTTTACTTGTTTCCTGAATAAAAACAAATCATGATGACTATTCATGAATCTAGTTGTACTTTCTCAATATGTTCAGACTTTTTAATAAATGAACACTTCAGATGATAGAACAGTGCAACATAGGAGGTTATTTGTTGAACAATGACCAGTGCTGGGAATAACAAAACATTTAGAGTTTTGGACCTTGGTATTAGTTGGTGAACGGTGGGCGCCAAATGGGCCCTCCATTGCAATTTACCAATAGTGGAAAGATAGGAAATCACGCAGCTCCTACAAGATCAGACCAGATTGATGGGGAAACAGAGAGCAGCTAGGCGGAACCATCACTGGAGGGCTACAAGCACTGGCTTGTAGTATGCTGCAGTACTTTTTCGAACCTGGATAAACAGGGCTAATTTTCCTGGCCTTTCCCTCTCTACACCCACACCTGTGAAAGAAACTTCACCTTTGTGAGGAAGGTGCTCACTGTCTGGTAGAAATCACTGAATTGCAAACAACTTCTGATAATTGACAGAAAGGACCCCAACTTTTCCTCTGCCCACTTACAAGCCCATCTGAAAATTACATCAAGCTGACCTTGTACATCCATAGGATGGCTGAAGTTTGTGTGGGTGAGAGGTCCTGACCTTTGATTCTATTTGAAGAAAAGGTACACATTCAAATATTGTTTGCTGTTGCTCCATATAGATATGAAATAAAGTTCAAGATTTAATCTCTATTGAAGATATTAGTAATCCAACTTCAAATAGAAGTTGTAACATGTGCTGGCTTTAAGCTTTTGCCTCTAAATTGGAAATTTCTACTTAATAGATCATACAACCACACCCGAAGTATACAAATTCTCGAGTACAATTACAGAAACAAATTTTTTGAAACATCTGTTTACATTACTAAAACAGAAAAAAAATACATGAACCAACATTTACAGCCACAAGCTATTCAATATACATGGCTATCATGAACAAAAGCAGCTTGTTTATTTTAGTCTGACTCTCTTTCACCTGTTCCTGAACATGCACTTTACATTAAAACCAGAAGAACTGTGAATGCTGTAAATCAGGAACAAAGACAGAAGTTGATGGAAAAGCTCAGCAGGTCTGACAGCGTCTGTGAAGAAAAAAATCAGAATTAACATTTCGGGTCTGGTGACCTTTCCTCAAAACTGATGGTAGCTGGGAAAACATCAGTTTATATGCAGAAAATAGGGAGGGGGTGGGGTAGGGAGTAAACAATAGGATAGAGACCAAAGCGAAAGAGGAACAGTTGGACAGACAAAGGCGTTGATAATGATTTGGTTGTGAGGATGAATAGTTGCTAATGGGGACTGTTAGTGACTAACAACAGGGGGTGTGTAATGGCAGGCTATGTGATAACACGGCCTGGTATGTCAGGTAGGGGGCTAGGCCATGGGAGAGTTTAGGCCCTAAAATTATTGAACTCGATATTGAACTCTGGAGGGCCGCAGGGTTCACAAGTCGAAAATGAGGTCTTGTTCTTCCAGCTTGCGCCGAGCTTTGCTGGAATACTGCAGCAGCCAGAGACAGAGATGTTGGCCAGGGAACAGGGTGGTGTGTTAAAGTGGCAGGCAACAAATAGCTCAGCATCTTTTTTGCGAGCAGAACGTAGATGATCTACAAAGCGGTCACTCAGTGTACGCTTCATTTCCCTCATGTAGAGCAGACCACTTTGTGAGCAGTGAATGTAGTAGACTAGATTCTGGGAAGTGCAGGTGAAGTGCTGCTTCACCCGGAAGGTATGTTTGGGCCCTTGGACAGTGAGGAGGGAGGAGGTAAATGGGCAGGTGTTGCATCTTCGCCGGTTACAGGGGAAGGTGCTGTAGGGCTGTGGGAGCGTGTTGGGGGTGAAGGAAGTGTCCCGGAGGGAATGGTTCCTGTGGAAGATGGACAAGGGAGGGGAAGGGAACATTTGTCTGGAGGTGGCAGAAATGACATCTGATGATCTTCTGGATGTGGATGCTGGTGGGATGGTAGGCAAGGTCAAGGGGAACCCTATCGCTGTTGCAGGAGAGAAGAGAGAGGGTGAGGACAGAGGTCCAGGAGATGGATTGGACCCAGTTGAGGGCCCTGTCGACAATGGTGCTGGGGAATCCTCAGTCGAGGAAGAAGGTGGACATTTCGGAGGCTCCCTTGTCGAAGTTGGCCTCGTTTGAACAGATATGATGGAGACGGAGGAACTGAGAGAATGGGATGGAGTCTTTACAGGAAACAGGGTGTGAGGATGTATAGTCCAGGTAGCTGTGGGAGTCAGTGGGTTTGTCATGGATATTGGTGGTCAGTCTATCCCCAGAAATGGAAACAGAAATATCGAGGAAGGGAGGAGTCGGAGATAGACCGGGTGAGAGTGACGGCAGAGTGGAAATTAAAAGCGAAATAGATGAACTTTTCTAATTCAGGATGAGAGAGGGAAGCAGCACTGATGATATCATCGATATATCGGAGAAAGAGTTGTGGGTGGAGGCTAGAATAGGACTGGAACAAAGAATGTTCCACGTACCCTATGAAGTGACAGGCATAACTGGGGTCCATAACTGGAGTTAGCTCGATGAATGAGCCGGAGGATGAAGTGGAACTACAGAGTGGTGCAACCCTCAGCCAGCATGTTGCGATGCTGTTGGAGAGAAAGGTTGAGAGTGTGCATGTGGCGCCGCATGACACTGAGCGTGGATCTCAGGATGCGGCGAGAGCAGCTGTCCATGGAACGTTGAATATCATGGTCCTGGAGCAAAGACCTGAACCATCCCCATCAACCACCACCCTCCTCCGCTTGGCCGAGCTCGTCCTCACCCTCAACAACTTCTCTTTTAATTCCCCTCATTTTCTTCAGGGAAGATGGGTGGCCATGGGTACCCGCATGGGCCCCAATTATGCCTGTCTCTTCATGGGGTATATGGAACATTCCTTGTTCCAGTCCTATTCAGGCCCCAATCCACAACTCTTTCTCCAATATATCGATGATATCATCGGTGCTTCTTCCCTCTCTCATCCGGAATTGGAAAACTTCATCCATTTCGCTTCCAATTTCCACCCTGCCCTCACTTTCACCTGGTCTATCTCTGACTCCTCCTTTCTCTTCCTCAACATCTCTGTTTCCATTTCTGGGGATAGACTGGCCACTAATATCCACTATAAACCCACCAACTCCCACAGCTACCTGGACTATACATCCTCGCACGCTGCTTCCTGAAAGACTCCATCCCATTCTCTCAGTTCCTCCATCTCCATCGCATATATTCAAATGAGGCCAACTTCGACAAGAGAGCCTCCGAAATATTCACCTTTTTCCTCAACCGAGGATTCTCCAGCTCCGTTGTGAACAGGGCCCTCAACCGGGTCCGACCCGTCTCCTGTACTTCTGCCCTCATCCCTTCTCTTCCCTCCCACAACAGCGATAGGGTTCCCCATATCCTCACCTACCATCTCACCAGCATCCACATCAAGAAGATCATCAGACGCCATTTCTGCCACCTCCAGCAAGATGCCACCACCAAATACATATTCCCCTCTCCTCCCTAGTCAGCCTTCCGCAGGGACCGTTCCCTCTGGGACACCCTGGTCCAAACTTCCTTTCTCCCCAACAGCAGCACCACCCACCCCCCCCCCCCCACCACGCCCCACCACCCCCACCCACACACACACACACCCCTACAGCACCTTCCCCTGTAACTGGCAAAGATGCAACACCTGCCCATTTACCTCCTCCCTCCCCAATATTCAAGGGCCCAAACATACCTTCCAGGTGAAGCAACACTTCACCTGCACTTCTCAGAATCTAGTCTACTGCATTCGCTGCTCACAACGTGGTCTCCTCTACATCAGGGAAATGAAGTGTACACTGGGTGAACACTTTGTAGATCATCTACGTCCTGCTCACAAAAAAGATCCTGAACTACTTGTTGCCTGCCACTTCAACACACCACCCTGTTCTCTGGTCAACATCTCGGTCTCTGGCTGCTGCAGTGTTCCAGCAAAGCTCAGCGCCAGCTGGAAGAACAACACCTCATTTTCCACTTGTGAACCCTGCAGCCCTCCAGACTCCATACTGAGTTCAATAATTTTAGGGCCTAAACTCTCCCATGTCCTAGCCCCCCACCCCACACACCAGGCCTTATTACCATATAGCCTGCCATCACACTTCACCTGT